CTAAATTGAGGCTCTGGAGTAAACACTAGTTTACTCTTATGTTGTTTCCTTCTTGAAACTAAAATCTACCAAGGTATGTTATTAAAATAAAGTTCTTCCAAATAACATATACTTTACTTAACATTCAACAATTTCAAACTGAATTGAAGATTTTATTGCTTTAAATCAGCTTCCAAATACATAAAGATTTTGCATACATTTATCTGTGTGATTGGCAGTTTCAGTGTAGGCAATATATTAGTGTTCAGTAGTAAAGTAGTTTCTAACCTGAATTGTGAGAAATGATGCAATCAGCATGCTTTCCGTAGCAAGATTTTAAAGATGTGACATATTTTCTTCACACTTCAAATATCTATATTATCAATCTTGCCTGTTTAACATGAGGTTACATGATAAACAAAAGTGGAAATGCCATTCTGCAAAAGTCACAGCTTTTAGAATTTATAACGAACACTAGGAAATGGGAAAATGCATGAAATAAGAAATAGAAACGAGGAAATGCAGTTAAAAATACACTGTGGGGAAAAAACATTTTTTGATGAAATGTGGCAGTTGTTCTTTTGTAAGGAAGAGAGTAAATTATTATTAGAAAGGTACCTGAAACTGCTTAGGTAAATATAAGCAAAGATGTTTTGCAGTAGAGTTGTAAACAGGGCTTTCAGTGGTAATAGAAGTACTGTATCTTGTATTGCCTAATGGGGAAATCATTACACAGAGGAGCTTTAAGCACTTAGAAGATGGACTTGTAAAAACTGAATCTCATGTTATATTTAATACTAATTAAATGTGACTAGATACTTATGACTGGTGGCTATTCCATTGGACAATACAGATATAAAGATGATAATTTTACTTTATTCCTGTGTTCAACTGGGTAAGTTATTAGACAAAAAGGCCAAAATACAAATGATCACGTGAAGAATATTCTTGTTTCTGTTTACTTATAATAAGATCTATAAGACACAAAATAAGAGAAGTTATAGGCAAAGTTTATACAACTTAGTCTGAACAAAGAACACACGGAGAAAATATACAGTGTAGGTGTCTAATGTTGTGAAGGATTAGGAGTCAACAGAGAATTATAGAATCTGTCACAATGACCAGAGCAATCATCAGGTCCATATAGCTCCTTGTCACTATAACTCCACACCATCAGCCTATTACTTAAGTGGTAATTCTTCAAGAAACATAATGTTATCCAGTGTAACTTGCCATTTTACATTTCTATACTCATTGTGGCAAACATGCTGTCTATTCAGTGGCCAAACCCCAACCTCCCAGCCATAAGACATGATTATGTAGTAAAATTCTGGTGTTTAAGATTCTGAAAAAAGAAATGTTGCTTCTGTTTTTCAGTTCTCCTCTTCCTGCTGGAATATGCATTTCTGAGGAAATGGTAGGAAGAGTATACAATTTTTGGAGTTGATACTGCTAAGCCACTGAATCCATTTTAGTACCTGCTACTTTTGATCACATCATTCTATAAGACCGATAGACCTCTGTTTGACACACTTATGATAGATGTATTTAAAATAAAAATGCAAATCCAATAGATATGGTTCACTTCATCGGTGAATGTCCTAGGGGAAAATTTGGAATTTGTTCTTTGTTTATATTTTCACACATGTATGCAATGTGTTCTGATTACTATGGCAGCTCTACATCACCTATCTACCTTCTGCCTCTATCACCCCTCAATCCTTCTAATGAGTATTTTTTCCATTTTCATGGTTTTTTGTTTTGTTTTGTTTTGAAATCCAATGAGTTTAATGAGGGCTATCGGTTTAACCCAGTGTTTTACATTCTCTTTTTGAGCTTGGTGGGATCACCAATGGTTTCCCATTTACCTATCTAATCCGAGCAGGTTTTAGAAGTTATTTGGTACTGATCTAGGCATGTAATCATATAAGGGTAGACAGCAGCTAATGACTCTAATAAATAGTCAACATTCTCATAGAAAACAAAAGCTTACAAATAACCTAAACACAGTGTGGTGAAATAAACTAAAATAACATGAAGTTTTATAGTTGACAGAGAAGGCTTACTGAAGCAAACAGAACTAAAGCTAAGACCTGGATAATGAGCAGAATGTAAGCACATAAAGAAGAAGCAAAATGGAACATAGCTACAAGGAAATGAAAATAAGTCACTGTCAGTTGTGTGATGACATGTAGAGAAGGAGTCCAATAAAGCAATCAATTAGACTAGAATTATAAGGGAAGAGAAAGTAAAATATCTGTGAATGGATTGAGTTTTAAAATCAACAGATATAGTCTGGGTATATAGCTTAGGGGAAAAGCATATGCCTAGTAAGCACAAGAATTTGAATTCCATTCTCAATACTGAAAAAAAATGAATAAATTAGTAATGTCTTTAAAATAGGGAGGCAGGGAATGTACATGAATTCTATGAGTCTGAAAAAATAAATTTACCCCAGAGTTTATATAGAGAATGGGTTAGAAAGTAGTAGGGCTAGAAGTGAATCAATTTATGTAAATGATATGTTCATTTTAATAATTTAAATGAGACATAATAATAGAGGAAGAAAGATGAAGAAAAGAGACTGGGATTGAAAGCTATTTAGATAGCAAATAACTTTCCTAAAGCTTGCAGAGTGTAGAATCAAGCATGACTCTTAGATTCCCAAAAGGGACACCTGAATGAGGTGCAGTGTTCATTGGTTAGGAATCATAGGAAAAGAAATTGGTTTCATCTGGAGAAACATCTTGACTAAGGGCAAAGATGACTTTGGTTTGGGATCTATTCAATGTCAAGTTCCTGTGGGAAATTAGAGGGGAAAGAAACGAATAGGATATTTAGGCATGAAGCTCAAAGGACCTTCTTCAGCTGAAAATGTTGACAGGTAGTTATCATCACACTGAAAATGCAAAGATACACTTCCCAGAGGATATAAGTAGTAGAGGCAAAAGCAGGAAAGATAAAGCATGCGTCAAAAGTAGCTCTATACTTTTGTATATAGTTCATGGGGAAGTAATTTGTTGCTTTCTAAGTTGATAGTTTTTAAGGAATGAAGCCAACAAATATAACCCAAAAGCCATTTTCCTGAGGAATCGAAGCTCTAATAACATGAGAAAAGAACTGAGACATCTAGGACATTGTGGACCATAAGATTATTGAAAGACAGGTCCCTGAGATGAAAAAATCACATAGTAAATTGTATAGACCAGACCATAAAGCTCTAATTTTGTACCATGAACAAGCTTTCTTCTTAGCTCGTTCCTCGTTTATATTCCTTAAACTCATTACATTAACACTTGATCTTAATGCCCTTTCCCAAAGTACCATCTGTTTGAGAGTCTCCTCAGTGCTTTCTGCTGACATCTAATGGTTGACTTTCTGTTTTTCCATTAATTAATCTGTTAATTCACTTTATATCCCAATCACAGCCCCTTTCCTCCTCCCACTCTCCCACTCTAAGATCCGCTCTCCCTCTCCCTGTTCTCCTTCTCCTCTTAGAGGTGGAGACTGCCTTCCCCCCAGAAGTAACACACTCTAGTGCCCCAACAACTGGACTTGGTTCTGTCCCTGACTGTTGCCTCTCTGTCGATCGTGTTCTCTCGACTGGGATGCCTTATCTGGCCTCATTTGAAAAGGATGTACCAGATCCTGCAATGGTTGACTTTCTAATACCAATTCTTTTTATCTGGATACTTGTTCCTAAGCCTACTGTTCCATGGCTTAACAAAAACAGTTAACACTTCTATACTTGCAGAAGATTGACTCTAAATCTTGTCCTTAGATAAACTAGAAACTGGGCAATTGATTTTTCCAAATATTGGCCTCATATTAAAACCTGTTCTTTCTTTACTAGGGCCTTTTTGAAAGGGTTCCAGTGTAACTTCTCAGGCTTAGCTTGAATCTTCTTTCTGGAATTCGGCGCTCTATTTCTATGGTCACTAGCTTAAATCAAGCTCCCCAGGAATGTTCACTTTCCACCCCTAGTTCAGGTTTGCATATAAATAGCTCATTACTCCTAAGACTTTTGCCTCTTTGTTTAAAATCAATTTTATTTTTCTCCTCCATGCTAACATTTTTTCTCCAAATTAAAATTGCCTAACTGACTTTTCCAGTAATTCATGTCATCTTCTGGGATTTAGCTTTCCCTGTCGTCCTGCTCCTCATTATACAGGCACTATTTTTTTCTTTGCCTTTGTTTTCTGGCACAATTAAAAATGAGAGCCCAACAATAATTAACATATCACAGTACACTCAAAGTAAATCTTCATGCAGAAAGAATCCTGATTCTGCAAATATTTACAAACTCCTGATTATAAAATCTACTTAAGGATGAGGGGTTGTGTCAAACGAAGACAATCTCAGCCCTTATGGACTTTAGAGTAATGTGTAAGACAAATACAAAATAAATAGTTATATGATTCATGTTTTATTAATATTTGGAATAAATATTAATGCAAGAAAACCACACTGGGTTTCAAAGAATAGATACGATGATGGGACCTAGTGTGAAGATGTGGTGTCTCTCAGAGCTGTTAATTTTTGTTATGGGTTTGCATGCCAAGTCTTGATTGGTATCTTCTGAATCTAGTCATTGCGACCTGAGAAGATGACAGAAGCTTGTTATCTCATTAATAGATCAATCACTCATTGGCTCAAAATTTGTAGGCATTACTGGAAGAAGGTGGAAACATTAAAAGCTGGGGCCTTAGTGAAGAAAGTAGCTCACTCTATATATGATCTCAAGAGGTATTTTGTACGTGTCCTTTCCACTGTTCTTTCTCTGCTTTCTGAGCCACTTGAAGTTGTTTTTTAGTTAATTGCTTAGTTCCATCATTGTCTTTGTGAATGGAGGCAAATCATTTCACTTCATCAAATCTCAGGCTTCTCCTCATTAAAACAGGACAGCAAGCCAGGCTTTTGAGTTAAATTGGCATATGACATTAATGGGATGGTGGGTTTCATCCAAGGTCACTGTCCCTTCATTACAGCTAAAATAGTTTGAGAAATAAAGTAGTTCTTACCTTTTATGAATGTTTCCCCAAGAAGTATTGATATTCTCTGTTATCATGTGTACTTTCCTGGTATCATCAGCAGAATAATCTCGAAGAAGTTTCAGTGCCAAATCATTTGTCACATCTACATTTATCTGCCGTTGGCGGAGGTCTTTGGCCAACTGCTATAGGTGTGAATAGGGAAGAAAATTATGTCACTTTTTATCCAGATATCTCTAAATGAGGTACCTTTAAATATCTTATAAATAGCTACTGATTCTTCAGGCCACAGCATCTCTACACAATTGTTTTTAACTTCTCATGTGAGTCTCTCAACTATATTGATGTAACATGCTTTCCATGACAAAATTTCAAATGCAGAATCTTGAGCATTGACTCCTTCAGTTCAATTTAGTACCACTAAATTGGGAATAAAATAAGCTTAATTGTTTTTTATCACAAGAGAAAATAAACTGCAAAAGAAACTTCACAATCATTGCTTAGCATGTGACATATAACAAAATCTAAACATAAAAACAGGCCTTTCTTATGTTGTCATTAACTTGTTGAATTGTTTATGTAATTAGTGCCATCTACTGGCATTTAACAAACTTTGCATAGAGGTAAATGATAAACAAAAAAGTGTTGTTATTCCACGGTTTCTGAAAGATTATAATACTTTAAAGATCCCGTACTTTAATATGCAGATAAAAGACAAAATAGAAAACTATTTCTAAACCAAACAACTCATGTGTTTTCCATGATTGGTTTTAGAAAATTTAATGTCATTGAACTATCCATTTCCTCACTGGAAAGAAGCCAACCAAGGTCAGGTACAATGAGAAGGATTAAAATATTGAGGTATGAATAAAGATATATGAGCAGGCAACTTAACAAAATGACAGAATAAAAAATTTTTGTAAAAGAGAAAAACTTAACTTTCAAGTAATATAAATTTATTAAATCAAGAAAGTACAATTTCACAATAGTAAACAAAAACTCATATAGAGAAAATAGCAAAACTATTATATTCTATTTTTGGAAACATAAATTATGACTATTTGGCAATAGATAACAAGTGACCCCCCCATACTTGCACTTCTTACACTTTCTCTTAATAAAATATTCAAAAAGACAAATGTATTATAAGATTTAAAAATCACCAAAGGAGTAATTTTAATATTTACTTAGGGAATTGTAGTGGGTTGGATAGGTATGGCTCCCATAGACTCATGTATTTGAAGGCTTGGCCCATAGAATTAGACACTATTCAGAAGTATAGCCTTTTGGGAGTAGGTATGGAATTGTTTGAGGAAGTTTGCAACCATAGAGGTAAGCTTTGACGTTTCTTTTATGCTCAGGATATGCCCAGGGTGGTACATAATTCCCTTCTGCTGCCTGCAGATCAAGATGTAGAACTCTCAGCTCTTTCTCTAGCACATGTCTGCCTTGCATGCTACCATGCTTCCCACCATGGCAATAATGGATTAGACCTCTGAAAGTGTAAGGCAGACTCAATTAAATATTTTTATAAGAGTTGTTGTGGTCATGGTGTCTACTCACAACAATAAAAGCAAAACTAAGACAGTGATATTAGAAAATAACGAATAAATGTGCACAATATTCATGGGGAAGAGAACATGATTGAGCTGAGGCAGGAACTCAGTGGTAGAGTGCTTATACAGGGCCCAGGTTCAATACACACTGCTTAACCAAACAACAAAATACAACCATGGTGTTATTATGGGAAAAGAAAATATGGTTTTGACCTGGAAATTTTAAAAATCAGTATGAACAGATGAAATAGCTATTATAAAAATTTGTGAAAGGAAAAATATTTTACAGTTTGTGTTTTGTGTTAGTATAATGTTTACATAAACAAAATAATATCTTGGCAATTTTGGCATAATTCAATGCATTTGACTGCATTCCTATTCCTCACAAAGTTAAGAGTTTTTATATAGTCCAACATTTTTTTACTTAACTAGAATATACTATTTTAGAATCACTGAAAGAGTAGCACTTATTGGAGATCGCACATAGTTTCAGATTATCAAGCTATTTATACGCTATAGAGCTGTAAAAGTGGTGAAGAGAGAAAAAAGAGTGAGATAAATGGGGAGAGAGAGGAAAACAAATGAGTTTCTTTTGGCACAGAAGATGGTTGTTGGTACCAAAAGCAGATAAAATATATGCTTGTGAAATGTCAGGCTTTCTTCAAAACTTCTTTTATTAAGAATTGATAAATTGATGATCAATAAATAGGTCCTATTTCTACTTTGCCGATTCCATATGAAATAAAAGATGTTTGAATGTGAATTAACCCCATGAATGTCTCCCATTTCCAGAAAATTCCTAGGATACAAAATTATCTTTCCATTTCTTATTATTTAAGCATTTCTAGAAAATTCCTAGAATACAAAATTATCTTTCCATTTCGTATTATTTAAGCTAAACTTATCTGACAAAATTAATGTGTATCAAGATGTGAGATATCATATTAGTCAGAGGACAACATTTACATTGTAAAAGAAAAGCATATTATATATTTTTTAGCTCTACTATTAGTCACAAACTCAGTTACAAAACTCAGATAAATAGCCTTATTATTTCCTAAGTTAATAAAAGACAAAAAGATCAAACTATTAAACATATGCTATGATGACCTAACACCAGAGTATAAATACGTAGGCTTAGACACACAGAATATAAAGGTTTCAACAAATACAAAATTAAAATTACTTACTATTTTAAAGCAACAATCGATAGACCCAGAAAGGTTACATAAAAAGAGATGTCTAGGAGAAGTAACATAGATCTCCCTGAGAGGGGACATATAATAAATTTTATAGGTAGGCTGGGGACATGAGTGATGTTGGGGAGAGGGAGTGGAGGAGGAAACTGTAGGGAGAGATGGCTGGAATTGGGTGGGAACATTTTGGGGGTAATGTGAAAACAGTGGGATGCGAGCTTCTTGGGATGTATGAAGCTGATTTAATTAGGACTCTTAGCAATGGGAGATACAGACTCTTAACTGGCTATCTCTTGTTGCCAGGTGAGACTTCATGTGGCAGGATTGGGGTGCATTCAATTATGTTCTGCTAAGACTGTCTATTAGAAATTCTCAAATAACCCAGGCTGTTTCTATGACAAATGTTTGCCCTCTGCAAATTGACAGTGGGGCCACATTGCCAAGAACAGCCCACAGACAAACTATTGAACACAGAGAAGTCAAGCTAGTCCTGCATGGAACCTTCACCTGTACATTCTGGTGTCTTTGGTGTAGTACTCTGCAGGCCACCCCCTGGGGCATCCAGCCTTCATAGGGTCAAGGTTCTCTTCTTCCACCTATGCCCAGCAGGGCCCTCCACTCTTACATATTCAACTGAAGAGCTGGATCCCTCCCTAAGTGCTCCCAGGCTGGTGGTTTAGACCCTGGGAGCTGTGGTTGGTTGGTATTGTTGCTCAACCAACCACAGAAAATGCCACTTTCAAAGGACGCATTGCTTGCTTACTGTCTTACAGTTTGATCTTAGGGAAGTGATTTACTTTGTAAGTTTCCATTTTATTTTCTCAAAAATGGGATGGAGCTACTAACTCTGCCTAAGAATCAAGCATGCTGTGAGTGGTGTGCAAAATCAAATTGAAAGATTAGAAAAAAGGATCATAATATAATACACAGTGCATATATGAAGATATTCATTGTTAAGTAAATGTTACAATCCATAGAACCACATAAGGTAGGTATAGAGTAAGGGACAAAGGTATAAAAGGAACAAATAGATCTCTTTAGGAATGGTAAATAGAATATAGATATGGATACATAAGGAATGAAAGGGTCAAGTCGGGAGAGTGGAGAGAAAGGGTTTGGGAGGGGATACATTAAGACAGCAAAAATAAAGGGACATTTGCACAGTAGTATGGAAACCTAATGCAGTAGAAACTTCCTAAAATATATACATATATGAAGGTATTCTAAATGTAATCAAACAATGGGGGAGACAGAGTTCCAACTTGCCATCTCTTGTCACCAAATGAAGCTTCCTGTACCAGAATTGGGTTACAATTAATTGAGTGCTGTCCAAAGAGACTTCATGAGAATCCCCAAACAATTTAGGATGTTGCCAAGCCTATAGATTGCTCTCTATGAGCTGACAGCCAAGCCCTATTACTAAAGATAACACACACACAATTCATGGAAAATGGATATGCTGAGCTGGTGCTTACATAACTTGTTCACCTGTATGATTGAGCATCTTTGGTACAAGAAGGTTCTCTGCAAACTATCAAAAGAGGAATGTAAAAACCAATCCAGCCATAAAACCTTTATATACAATAGTATTCTGTTTCCAAAATATGCTCACAAACCTTGTAGAAGTAGCCAATCAATAAGTGGTTTGACTTAAAGCCCACTCTACTAAATGAAACTCATAACTAACACTGCTTGATTGACCAATTATCTGAGACTAGATAATCCAGGGATCTTTGGTGAAACCAAATAACTTTGATCTTTAAAAAAAATGAGTGAAAAGTTGACTCCCTAATGATATTCTGCTATACTGATAGATCATTGATATTCAGCTCTCATCAGAAAACCTTCCTCCTGTAGCAGATAGGAGCAAATATAGAGGCTCACAGCAAGATACTATGCAGAAAGTTAAAGGCCCCGAAACAAAATTGTAAAGGGGATGTCTCCATCAAATCCCTCCCTTTAGGGCTCAGAGAACTCTGGAGAAAGAAGGGAAAAAAGAATATAAGAGTCAAAGGGGATGGAAGACACGAAGAAAACAAGACACTCTAAACATGAACAAAGTTTATAGGAACTCCCAGAGACTGAGCATGCACATGGCCTGTATGGGATGTAGAAGGTCCTGTGCTTCCAGTCTAGTGTTTTTATGGGACTCCTGATTGTGGGGATGAGTGGGTCTCTGATTTTTTTGTGCCTGAACTAACTTTTTGCAATTATATAGTTTGGAAGACCAGTTGGGTTGTAGAAAGAGTATACCAACCAACAGTTATTGCAAAAATGTAAATAAATTTGATGAATAAAACCAATACCCCTCTGATAAAATACAAATCCAAACCCCCTGTAAAGGCAGACCACAAACATGTAGCATACCTACATAGCCACATTTAACATTTGTTAAATTTTCTTTCTTATTGCAATTTCACAATTGTTTACTTA